TAGCGCATAGTAACTATGTTGTGAGATGGTGGATCTTGCCACTCTTCAAAATTGATGCAGAAGAGGATGGGCGTTGGACATTCCTAATCTACTCAACTCCTCCCAAATCAAGTACACGCTGAAGCATGTTTTTAGAATTGATTGAACATTGTTTTTCTTGATCTAAGATTATTTCTTATGAATCCTCATCATCGCCTGCTTACGAAAATATAAAAAAAACGAATGTTCAATAAAAATTTCTCCCGAGTGAAAGTAACCTCTGTGCTTGCATGTAATTTGTGACTACGTCAAGTAAATTACCATGTGATTTACATCAAAATTACTGCGGGTATGTTTCAACAATTTGTTTGGATCAACATTTGTGTAGGTACAAAGTCTCGATAAGGTGGATTCTTCGCTCTGTTTATTAGCAACCAGGATCAACTCTAAATGGCAAAGGAAATTTGTTGCCTGTATAGCGTACAAATTAGAAAACTAGTTCATAAATGTGTCAAAGGTTGTGCTAGCATAGTGGCCAGTGCCTCTTTGTATCATGTACTGGTCCAGAGTTCGAATCCTGTTCACAATGTAATTTTTTGGCTTAAAAAAAGTGCAACAATGAGAGAGAAAATGGGTAACGTCCAAAAATCACGGCAACCTCCCATTAAAAGCCCCTGCTAAAATCGCGGCGACCGGTGACCTCCCACAAAACGTGAAACGGCAACCTTAAATCGCTACCTAAAATAATAGCCAGGCGATCACGATCCAACGGCTCCGACATCGTCCGGATCTGTTGCAAAAATTCGGACGGCAGGAATATAGCTTTCTCGTTTTAAAAACAGTAAGATATAAAAAAGATCTGGTTTTGGGGCAAATAAACATTGTCAAATTGTCTATATACGTGCAAATTTTCATGAAAGTGGGAAAAAAACATGCTCCAAAATGCTTTAACAAAGTCTTTTTGGAGCATTTTTTTGCCCAAACCATTTAGGAAAAAAAATTCACGAAAATTGGTTGGACGTAGACAACTCTTCAGGCCTGCTTGGATTATTGTTTGGCCCCGAATACCCCCATAAAATGATACACACCTCTGTGCGTCATGTTTTTCCAGCTGGAAGTCACGCTGTTTCTGGTATTATACACGTGTAAACTAAATCCGGACGTAAAAACTTACACCTATTCCAAGCGGGCCCTCATTGTTTGTTGCCAAAAAAATCAGAAATTTATAATTTATTTAATTTTACTGTCCATGAGGGGGTATTTGAGCTCAAGTAGTCCACTTACAATTTATATCTGTTGTCATGACATACATATCATCTCAAAAATTCACCTTACAGAAAAGTTAAAACACAAAGCTAGGAAATTTTTGTTTTTTATTTTTATATTTTTAGCCAAAAATTATGCGACCAGGAGGGATGGTAGTGCCTCTACTTCATTTTAGACAAGAGAATTCGCTAGGCCTTGCTTAAAAATGCAAATCATTTTTTATATTTAAAACAATATTTAGTTATTGTTGGAAATACATTAATATGTCTATATTTTTCTTAAAAATTATATAAGCCGCGAGGCTTAAAAATTCCCATCATTTTTTATTTAAAACAATATTTAGTAATTGTTGGAATACATTAATATGTCTATATTTTCATTAAAATACTAGGCTGGACGAGGCTTAAAAATGCCCGTCATTTTTTTATTTAAAACAATATTTTAGTTATTGTTGGGATACACTAATATGTCTATATTTTCATTAAATTCTAGGCTCGGCCGAGCTTAAAAATGCCAAGCCTTTTTATTAAACCATTATTTAGGTTATTGTTGGAATTATATACATTAATATCTCTACATTTTCATTCCCCTAAAAAATGCCTTTATTTTCATTAAAATTCTAGGTTGCAGGCCTTCAGACCGAAAACCATATCCCGAGCCCTTGGTCGTCCTGTCCAAAACCCTAGAATTTCATCAACGCAATTCTCGGTCGCCTCCCCCGCCTCAACCCACCTTCTTCTGCACCCTTGTCTCCTTTAGATGGGGATGAAGCTCCATCCTTGCCCACCGTGTCGTCGGTGGCTCTGATCTACCCTAACATCATTGCCTTTGGCTATTTCCAATCGATGGTGGACCTTGTACCCAAAGGGCATAACAAAGGGTTGGGGGTCTTCTTTCGAGTGGAGCGGCAACATATAGTCGTCATCTTTTAGAGCTGTAGGAGCCAAAAGCGTGAGGATGGTGGCGGTGCTACAGTCATATGGACGAGAAGGCATCACTTGGCTGGTGTTCACGCCAAACATTTGTGTTAGGGCGGTGGCACTTTAGTGATGTGTGAGCATGCCGTGACATGGGCATTTGCCATATGGTCTCTAAGATTGATAATGGAGGTATGTCGTCCTGACAGGTTCGACGCCCTTTGGGTGTTGCTCCTCTTACTATCACAGAAGGTGGTGGGTTTTTCCTCCATTTGAGGTTGTAGGAGAGAGATATCCTGTCATGTGTGGAATTTATGTGTGATGCAGTAGTGGGGCTTTTACCCACCGGTGCAGACATTGGCTCAGTAGTAGGGGATGGAGGACTACTAATTTGGTTTGATATAAGATGATATTGGTCAAGTCGATGGAGGAGTTCCGACAGTAGCCAAGGTGGCTATCTATGGGGGGGGAGGGGACTAGTCACACCATCGTGGATTCCTCTAAAATAACCGGTGGAGTATCTATTGTAAGATTCACTGTCAAGAAAATGAATAGAGCACCACTCCATATGCAACCTACATTCCGACCTTGACTCAATGGAGCCAACAATGTTAGTTTTGTGTTGTCCCGTTGCTAAAGGTGTTGTCTTCGTGTTGATGCTCTCATCTTTATTGGTTGGATTTGACATTTAGGATGAAATGGATAAGGCTGTGGCTAGACCTCAGTTGATTGTTTAGCTAAATTTCACCTCCAACTGACATCAGGATATGATGTTTTGCCTTTTCCTTTTCTTGTCTTTGTGTTTCTACTTCTTTTTCTTCTTTCACACATGTCCAACAAGGGATGTGCAACTGTAGGTGGTGTATGAATGTTTGAGCCACTAGGGCAAACATTGGCCAAGTCATAGGAGATGGAGGACTACTAATTTGGTTTGATATAAGATATTGTTCAAGCCGGTGGAGGACTTCCGGTAGTAGCCTAGGTGGCTATCTATGGTAGAACTAGTCACACCCCTGTCGATTCTCCTAAAATAACCAGTGGAGTGTCTATTGTAAGATCCACCATCAAGAAGATGAATAGAGCACCACAACATATGCGGCCCACATTCTCGGATCCATTGCGAAAGCCACTCGCGGCGCTACAGCCTACATGAATCCTGCCTATGGCGACGGGCGACACGGCGAGTCGGCGACAGTTCCTCTCCTCACACCAAAACAAAATCAATCGCACCCAGACTCCGGAGCGCCGGCGACGGGCGACACGGCGATAGTTCGTCAGTTCCTCTCGCCAAAATAGGTAGCCTCCGGGCTCCGGCTGGCTAATCCTTCTCTTTAATTAACCTCGACTCCTACTTCTAATTCCTAATTAACTTTTGGAACGCAAGCACGTTCCACTGCCGCACGGGCATTCCACCACCATAGGGTACAAGGAGACAAGGATCTGCTGCGCGAGCCCATGGAGCTGGCGTGGTTCGTCGGGCTGTCTCTCCGCCGCCGAGGGGGATACATCTTCTCCTTACGCCTCGTTTGACATGGGAGGTTTTGCAGCCCCGGAGTGGAGGGGGATGTGAGGGGATTTGGTTAATCCCTCTCTTCCACCCAATCCCCTTAATTCCTCACTAATCCCTCCACCCTCATAAACCCCTCTATTTGGTTAAACATTTTACAACAACAGCAACAAAGCAAGCGTCCAGTTCCATGGATGCCTTGAAGGGTTTTCTGTACCATATGGATTAAGGGGGGTTCGTGGGGAACGGACAGGATTGGCCTGCTCAATCCCTACGTGTCAAATGGGCCGACAAGGATTTCTGGGGATTTTGAACCCTGCGAGGATATTCCCCTCCAAACCTCCCCAAACCTCCTCCACCAAACAAGGCCTTAAGCACCTGGAATCATTACAACGGGCCACTTGGATCCCCTCCGCCTGTTCAGTTCATTCTTGGCATTGATTCAGTCTTGTCGACGACGTACGAGTAGCACAGTGATTCAGTATTGTTGACGATGTCCAAAATTCATTTCTCTTGCTATGCAAATTCTGTTTATGTATTGTCCAAATTTTAGTGTTTTGTTGTCCAAAAATTCATTGTATGTGCTGTCCAAATTTCAGTGTTTTGTTGTCCAAAAATTCAGAATTGGTGTTAGTTATCCAAATTTCAGTGCGTAGATAGACCGTCTAAATTTTAGTTTATATGCTCTCCAAATTTCGGTGTACTTTCCCTGCTATTTTACTGCCATTTATCAAATGGTTTGCAGCCTTTCATCTAGTGATTTCAGTGTACCAAGGTTGGCTTTGACCCTCTGTTCTCTTCTGTTTTCCTAAGCACCCACGAGCTTGCATTGTTGCAAGGACGAATATGCTGATCTCGTAATCAATAGAACAAAAGGTACTGAGTATTTAATATTTCTACTGAAATACTATTATTTTTGCAAATTACTGAAATACTACTATATATGATTTCGAAAAAATAATCAGGTCCCTCATTTAGTTTAGTCCACCTATTTATTTTTCTTTGTAGCTCCGCCACCAAAAGATGGGCCCCAGTTTAAAGTTTGGCACAGGGCCCCGGATATTGCCGGCCCGGCGCTGTGCAAAGTTGAAATTCATCTGAAATACAAAGCACCTCAAACATAGATGTTTATCTTAAAAGAAGTGGGAACTTTTTTTTGACTCAGAAAATATGTCTTCCATTAACCAACTGGTGCAGCAGAGTCGCTCGCAACCAAAACATTTACAATGCCAGGCATATGAACGCAAATGTTTTGGTCACTTTCTGATAGGTCGCTCTTTGCTGGTCATTCATCTACTCTGTCCGTAGAACATTTTCGAACTCGTAGCATAATGTCGAATTCGTCGACGATGCGTGTGAAACTCACTCGCCGGTTTGTACGACAGGGACACAGGTAACTCGCCAGAACCTCTCTCGAGTCTCACGTACGTGTAACGTAGCGGGAGTCAAAGAGTCGTGCGTCTGCATGCAAACCCACGAGGAGGCCTCTACAGTTTTTTTATCCGGGCAATCGAGCGGGCGAGCTCTGTGCGCCAACCAAACCACCACCACAGACCAGACTCACCAGACATGACGCCTCCTCCGCCTCCCACCACCGCGCTGCCACGCCCCTCCCTCCTCCTCGCGGTCTCCTCCGCCGCGCTCAAGATCTCGGCCGCGGCGGCGACGAGCCCGGCGCGCGGCGTGCGGTGGCAGGGGGTCGGGGTCGACGGGAGGAGGGGGAGGAGCCGGGCCGTCGGGAGGTGCTGGGCGGCGGCGGTGGAGGAGGAAGCCGGCGCGCAGGAGGACGGCGTGCTGCTCCCCCAGGAGGGGAGCGAGGCGGCCGGGAGGTACGACTGGCGGGAGGAGTGGTACCCGCTGTACCTGTCCAAGGAGGTGCCCGACGACGCGGCGCTCCCGCTCACCGTCTTCGACCGCCAGCTCGTGCTCTACCGCGACGCCGACGGCGTGCTCCGCTGCCACGAGGACCGATGCCCGCACAGGCATACCATCTTTCTCTGAGTGTCTGAAAATTACTGCCGGTTATTTTCTGCTCTCGATCACTGCTACTCTGCAGCCATTCGGTGATCGTGTCTGTCACTGTGTTTGCCACAGCAGCTCGCTGACTTACAATTGTACAGTATATGTTCATCTCGTTTCAGAATAACATTTCGTGCACCTGGTCAATCTGCAGATGATCGATAATTACACCTGTGCTGTGTAGCTCCTCTAATTCAGATGATCGATCTGCAGGTTAGCCAAGCTGTCGGAAGGGCAGCTCGTCGACGGCAAGCTGGAGTGCCTCTACCATGGCTGGCAGTTCGACGGCGAGGGCAAGTGCGTCAAGATCCCACAGGTTTGAATCAATTCCATTCTTGGATCAGTGCAAACGCATGAGAAAATCCAATGCTTGATTCATGTACTATGTGATGATGGTGGCAACTGACGATGCGCGTGCAGCTGCCTGAGGGCGCCAAGATCCCGCGGAACGCGTGCGCGCGCAACTACGAGGTGCGGGACTCGCAGGGGGTGGTGTGGGTGTGGATGTCGCCGGCGACCCCGCCGGACGCCAAGAAGCTGCCGTGGTTCGAGCCGTACGCGCGGCCGGGGTTCACGGACCTGTCGACGGTGCACGAGCTCCCCTACGACCACTCCATCCTGCTGGAGAACCTAATGGACCCGGCGCACGTGCCCATCTCGCACGACCGCACCGACTGGACGGCCAAGCGGGAGGACGCGCAGCCGCTGGCCTTCGAGGTCGCCGAGCGCACCGCCCGGGGCTTCGCCGGCCACTGGTGGCGCGAGCGCGCGCCGCACCTCCGCAACCTGCTCCGCTTCGAGGCGCCCTGCGTGCTCACCAACACGCTCGAGTTCGTGGACAAGGACGGCAGGGAGCAGTGCTTCTCGGCGCAGTTCCTCTGCCGGCCGGCGGGGCAGGGCAAGTCGATGCTGCTCGTCCGGTTCGGGTCGACGGCGAGGTCGCCGCTGCTGAGGGTGCTGCCCAAGTGGTACTTCCACCAGAACGCGTGCAAGGTGTTCGAGCAGGACATGGGGTTCCTGTCGTCGCAGAACGAGGTGCTGCTCCGGGAGAAGGTGCCCACCAAGGAGCTCTACCTCAACCTCCGATCGTCGGACACCTGGGTGGCCGAGTACCGGCGGTGGATGGACAGGGCGGGGCACGGCATGCCATACTACTTCGGCCACAGCACCATCTCGCCGCCGCCCGTGCCGGCCGTGGTCGAGCAGGCGCCGGCGGGGGCCGCCGCGGGCATCTCCGCGTCCTTCCCGGCCAAGGGCGGCTTCGGCACGCAGCACGCGCCCAACCCGACCAGCAGGTACTTCCGGCACGTCGTGCACTGCAAGGGGTGCAGGGACACCGTCAACAGGTACACCGCCCTGAAGAAGGCCTTCGTCGTGCTCGCCGCCGTGGCCGCCGCCGCGGCCGTCTTGGCGGCGACGAGGCAGTGGAAGGCCATCTTGCTGGGCGCCGCCGCCGTGCTCGCCGCGGCGTCGTATGCGTGCGGTTCCGTGGTTTCTTTGATCACAACCAACTTCATTAGGACACACAGAAGATTGTAAACAAGCAGAGGCCGGGATAAGATCATACTGTCAGCGCATTTTAATTTAGTCAGCTAGAAACACTTCTCCGTTTTTACCCTTGTTTATATATCTATACTAGCATCATTTTGCCATCAGAAATTGCATGGCAAGACGAGTTCATAAACCTAAACTGGATTTTTAACTTCTCAAGAACACTTTCTTCCACGTAGTGTATATGTAAAAAAAAATAGCTATGCAATAAAAAAAATAGAGTGAGTCTGTTCAGATTAGAAATCATGAAAATAACATACAGCGCATGCATTTCATTCATTCGCACTTAGGCAACACACCAATGAAACAGAGATAGATCAACTTCAATATATATACAACCAAAGACCGTATCTTCACTGTTGAAATACTGGCAACAATGCCTTAGGTCACACATTATGCAGACCAGACTCGACAACGTCACACAAACACCGGCTCCTTGCCATGGGTTTGCTTACACAATATTACAGACCAGAATACAGATAGTCAGCTTAGCCATCACAGCCAAAACACGTTCGATACGATACAATACGTAGGTGGCTCCAATCAGATGATGCACTAGCAGGTATGCACTAGCAGGTAACCAGGTCGATCTAGAACTCCCTGTCTGGGAACAGGAGGGGAGCAACAAGGGACCAGATGAACAGACCTGCTGTTGCCCACTGGGTCGCGATCCTGACCCAGACAGACGGCCACCCGACATCGACAAGCTTTCCGCTCTCGCCAACCGAGGTCGACCAGCCAGTCAGGAGCATCGCTGAGTACATGCTTGCCAGGGAGAAGATGAGGTGGAAGAACGAGTAGGAGTATGTCACCGGCTTTGGCACGTCCTTAGTCTCCTCCTCGTCCGCTTTGCTGAAGGGGAGCAGTGGCTTGTCGGCACCTGAAAGAAACACCGGCGAATTTAGCAAGTTGCAACACGCACGCACACACACTACATAATTAATTAATTCAGTGGCCAGAGAACAAAATCCAACCGGCGCGTGGTGAGTCTGGTGCTGAGAGCACGGTTGCAGAAGAGCCAGCACGAACAGCAGAGTAGACCACAGAAAGGATGGTGGTACATAATCCCAACGTAAGGCTACCAGTTGACATAGCTTTGGAGTGATTGTGAAGCCCGTTGCACTCATAATCCCTTGGCTCACTGGAGAGTCCGCTGTAGCACAAGTATGTGCAGTAAAGGCCTATAACTGATGCAGGCAGCAAGCTTCCATTGACCTGCCCAAACCATAAACCCCAAATTAATCCTTCTTATAAACCAAAAAAACTATCATAGAACAGTACAATAGACCAATAGCATCGATTGCTTGTATCCTAACTAGTAGCTAAAAGTCCTAAAAGAAATCTAAGGAGCAGATCTACATAGCAATTACCGTAATGCACAAAGACAATCATGTGATTTTCATGGCATAGCAGTGAGCAAAAACATTATGGATCAACCAAACATGACAGTAACAAAAGCTAAGTTGTAGGAGAATGTGAAAATAAGAATACCTTTGGGTGCAGCGCAACAATAGCGAACACAAAAACAAGAATCAGTGTGGAGACAATGAAGAACATATTGAGTCCGCAGTCCTGCCCCGATGGAGTGAACCAGTGAAAGAGTAGACCCGAGAAAGCGAATGAGCCAATATAACAAACAACCGATACAACCAACAGAGCCATGTACCTACATTGATGAAGAGTAAGTAAAAATATATTTTGAACAGAACTAAGATGCATTCCTTAAACCAATGGAAACACAGCTAACTGAAGGACGAAGACAAGGTACCCACCAGAACTGTTCATCTTTAGCAACCCAGTTCTCATTCCATCCGTGCACGAAGTCCAACAGAAGAACAACCTGAACGAGAAGGAACAGTCCAGATCCAAACTTGGAAATCGATTCTGCAGAAATATATGACTACAGTAAGCACCACCTTCAGTAAAATAAACTTTTATAATGATGACACTGCAGTTTCCAGTAAAGCAAATAGCATAATACACTAGTCCAAAACGTATTGACAGTTTCAATTGGGAGTATTAGCCGATGGTTTATGAGTTCTATATTGCCTAAAGAAAGAGTACAGAAGCGAACAGCTAGGTTAAACCACAAGACAGCAAAAGGGTATCAGTTTTTTCAAAAATTATTAAATAACGCCTCGGGTACAATCCCAAACCATGACTCAGGTTTTATTAAACAAGCAAATAAGCAAAGATAGACAGCAACAGTTGATGTCTCTGATAGCAGGAGCAAATTTTAATCCAAATCTAATCAGCTTAAATTTTGTTAAGGAAAGGGAGACAGAAAATATTTGTAGGAACAGCCTTGCAACGCAGACTCCATACAACGATAACCATGATTGACAGCGCCAACATTTCTTTACACCTTTCTAATGCAATAGAATGTCTAGCCAACAGCTCAATCACATTTTGACTAATTTCCATATCCCTGTATTCACAATTGTTTAGCCTTTCCTTATGCTATCATTATCAGGATCCTAGTATATATCTCGATAACATAGAATCGACATACCCACATTTGTTTTGCATATTAGTTATTCTACAGTACCATCTATTCTTTTGATTCAGTGATCCCCATCTGATATTATTGTTTGGTCCAAGAAGTGCCTACATGAACCCTTTCCGTTCATTTTCTAGTGCATGCTAGAATCAAAAGTGCAAAACAAAAGAGTCACCCCCTGAAGAAACCTTTCCGGGAATTTTGAGGGAAGGGGCAACCAATATCTCCTATGATTTTATTATTTTTAAGTGTAATGCCTTGCTATTCATTTAGGCGATTAGTAGTTTCACTCAACCAAATGTTATCCATCCTAGTATGCAGTATCTGAACGATTATGTTCACCATGTGCGGCAGATATCAGGCGGACTAGTATATTACAACCAGCTGCGTGCGTGAGCGGAAGGAAAAAGGGTCTCTCACTCACCGTAGAAGCTGACGACGCCGTTGGGGACGAAGAACATGAGGAAGACGATGACGACCCAGCAGAAGATCTTGGCCATCCAGCCGCCGTGGTGGACCTTGTCGCGCGGGTCCTTCTGGTCCTTGATGCCGGCCATGATGGCGGCGAGGATGGTGAAGAAGAGGAAGTTGCCGAGGCTGACCCTGAGCACGGCGTCCGTCTCGAACCACTCGCGGTCCGGCGTCTTGTGGAAGTGGTTGATCCCTGCAACGGAGAACGAGCGTCGCCGGTCAGATCGCGCGGAAACGAATTCGGGGGTTAGGTTAGGGTAGGGTAAGGGCGAGGGGGCGGGGCGTACATGGGATGGACTGGAGGAGCGGCGCGGCGACCTCGCGGAGCACCCAGGAGGCGAGGAGGGAGAGCGCGAAGAGGCCGCAGTAGGCGATCCGCGCGGAGCGGCGGCCGATGCTGCCGACGGCGGTGCGGCACGCCTCGCACGCGCAGGCGGCGCAGCAGGACGCCAGGCACGACGCGGCCCACATGGCGGCGGCTCTCCTCTTCTCCGGCGGCGATCAGTCGGGAGCCGAACCGAATCGAATCGATCGGAAGGGGGCGGCGATGGAGCTCGCGCGACGCCTCTGTCTGGGGTTCGATTTGGGGAATTTGTGGGGAACGCGTGTTGGGGAGGGGACGGCAGGGAGGAGGAGGAGAAGTGGATTCGGTTGCGGTCGCGGATTTGTTATTCTTCGGGTGGCCGCCGGGCCGTGGGGTTGGGTTGGGTTGGGTTGGGTTGGACCGGATAAGGAGACCGGGTCCGATTAATCTTTTCTGGTTGTAGGTTGCAGGTTGCCATTCAATAGATCAATCTTCCTCAAAAAAAAAAAATCAATAGATCAATGAAACACGCTCCAAGCATGATGTTATTCCTCTCCGCTGCATTTGGCTATGTTTTTCCCCAAGCCAGCCAAAGGCTAAATGAACATCGTATTGTACGTCGTCGTGTCACACGCATGTTAGACCCATAGGGCAGGCTATACGCTGTCGGGGTTAGTTGGTTGGTTGAGTCTACCTTGTTGAATCGTCCTTTTGCTGTCGTGACCCGTGGACGGATAGCTCTCTTGTCCGTCTTGCATACGTTGGTTCCCGTCAGGTGGGTGTGGATGTGCTTTGCCTAGCTGGCCTGCTATTGTTGTTGCCCCCCAAAAGATGGCGTGTTTAGAGCGTCCACCGTGATTTTGGACTCTGTGGCCTGGTTGGTTTTCTCATTCGGCGTGCGTGTGTGTTGGACGTGTTGTATGATCGAACGCTTTGATCGGTGGATTTGGCATGGCCTCCTACGGTATGCTCACTGATCTCACTCTCCCCTAGTAAGTGAATTGTTTGGTCGGCTCCCTTGCTTTTCTTCCGCTCACGTGATTCTGGGTGGGAGTGGGCAGCTCCGACGCCGTTTGACGTGGAGTGTGTGGTCGGTCTTCATTACCAACCCGCCTGCTCTGTTGCCCGTTCCTCTTTTTGGCTGTATATATGTTTGGCGATGCCTTATGGAGCGGGATGCTCCACGACCACCGACAACACACCCGAGATCATTTTGATGTCGTTTGTTTTCTTACGATCGATGTTGTAAGTAAGTATGAAACGTTACATTTAAGCTCATGGTTATTTTCACGGTTGCAAAATGAAGGAAGGCATGCCAAACGAGGTTGCCCATACGTTTGTATTCAATTCGGTTGGGCATGCTCGTTTCGCCATCTTCAAAGACCCGAGTGGACGCGAATCAACCTGTGGTTGAGTTGGTTAGGTGGACAGTGGTATCCCCAACCCACCAGGGTTCAAATCCTGGTGCTCGCATTATTCCTAAATTTATTTCAGGATTTCCGGCGATGCGCTTTCAGTGGGAGGAGACGTTTCCGTCGACGACGAGGCGCCTATGATGCCTTCGTAAATCTCAAGATGATATGCCGGCTCAGTCTCTCGGAGGTGCTCATAGGGGTATGGTGTGCGTGTGTGCGTTCATAGGGATGAGTGTATACGCGTGTATATGAGCGCTTGTGTCTGTACTGATGCTCAAAAAAAAAGACCCGAGTGGACAGTTACAGTTTCGACATACACCGACCCGCACACGCTGAGAAAGGTGGTTATGCGATGCTCCTGAACAAACTACTGCAACAATGTCTTTTGCAGATGGATTTTAACGAACATGGTCAATAAAGTATTCAGGTCTTGTGGTTTGCCTGGATGGTATTTTAGAGTGCCTGCCTGGCTTTTGGACTATGCGGCCTGACACATGTTGTATGATTGTGTTTTTCCCTTGAA